ACGTGCAGATCACGAGGTCAGGAAATCGAGACCATCCTGGCTAACACGGTGAAACCCCGTCTCTACTAAAAATACAAAAAATTAGCCAGGTGTGGTGGCGGGCGCCTGTAGTCCCAGCTACTTGGGAGGCTGAGGTGGTAGAATGGTGTGAACCCAGGAGGCAGAGCTTGCAGTGAGCCGAGATCATGCCACTGCACTCCAGCCTGGGCAACAGAGCAAGACTCCGTCTCAAAAAAAAAAAACAAAAACAAAAACTAAAAATTAAAAATAAAAATTTTAAAAATTTAAAAAAAGATAACAGAGCAAAAACCTATTTAGAAAACTTTTGACAGCAGATCCTTAAACTGAACACCTTTTGGGCAGGTGGCTCACACCCTGTAATCCCAGCACTTTGGGAGGTGGGGGCAGGGAGGTCACTTGAGGCCAGGAGTTCAAGACCATCCTGGCCAACGTGGCGAAACCCCATCTCTACTAAAAATACAAAAAATAGCCTAGTGTAGTAGTGCATGCCTGCAATCCCAGCTACTCAGGAGGCTGAGGCAGGAAAATCACTTGAACCTGGGAGGCACAGCTTGCAATGAGCAGAGATCAGGCCACTGCACTCCAGTCTGGGCGACAGAGGGAGACTGTCTCAAAAACGAAACAAAACAAAAAGCACCTTTTGCTCAAATCTTGGGAAATTCCTTTTCTTTCTCTACCAAAGACGCATTGTTGTCTTCAATGTTATGGCCAAAACATGCCCTCTTTTCCCACCTGAAATGAAGACAGAATAACTTGTAGGACTGATAGGCTCGGGGAAGTGATTCCTTCTCTCCCTAGAAATGGCACAAGCATTAGGTAACGAGGCTTCACTCCTACCGGCCGGCTTGCTTCCCAACGGGTATAAATTGACCTATTTCACTCACTTGCTGGGCCAAACCTTTCCCCAGCCTCCCCATTTTCTGACTCAGACAAAGGAAACCTGCTGACCACCAGCACCTGGGAGCTCTGCAGACACCCCCAAACCAGGGAGCCCTACCTTTTCGTCAGGAAAGAGGAAACCGTGAGAGCTCTGTGAGGAGTTAGCCACTTGTTCCTTGGTGAGTATTTTATCCTGCATGCTGTGAATACCACCAGCAGAGATGGCAGCTATGCTGAATTGGAAAGCAGCCAAATGGGAGCGCTGCTCTGTGACCTTATGCCAGCCACGTACCCCCTCCTGAACCTCACAACCTGCAGTATCCACCTCAGTGCTTTTGTGAGGATTGATAGAAAAAAAAATCAGAGCTTAGTCCTCAGCTTTAAAGTTCAAAATTTCTTAAAGTATTACTGTTTTCACTCCCAAATTCAATTTATCAGTCTCATTAAGATCATCCAACGATAACCCAGCAGGAACAGTTCAGACCGGCCTAGGATGGAAAGGCAGACATGCACCTCTCCAGTACCTCCAGACATATCTGTAAAATATGGAAGCTAGGTTATATATTACCTACAATTTTCCAGGCAAATCACCAAGTCACCTCACCTTTTAAACACAGAGAGATTGGTACGAGGCTCTAAGTTGGCATCTGCATCCCCAAATCAGAATTCATTTATCTGAAATGAAACCAAATATGTGTGTTTTGTCAGTGAGTGAGCTTTCATTTAGTTAACTATTAACAGGAAACCTGACCAACTTTGAAAGTAAAAAAGAAGCTGAGACGCTAAAGAAACAAGACACTGGGTTAGTGGCCAAGAATACCTATTTTGAATTATAATATAAAATACCTGTATTTATAGATAAATTATATGAAACATTTCTGTCCAACACGTATGAATAATCACTGCAAGCCATAATTGGGAGCAAAATATTTTATCTTTAGGCCAGGCGCGGTGGCTCACGTCTGTAATCCCAGCATTTTGGGAGGCCAAGGCAGGCGGATCACCTGAGGTTGGGAGTTCAAGACCAGCCTGACCAACATGCAGAAACCCCGTCACTACTAAAAATACAAAATTAGCTGGGGTGGTGGTGCCTGTAATCCCAGCTACTCTGGAGGCTGAGACAGGAGAATCGCTTGAACCCGGGAGGCAGAGGTTGTGATGAGCCAAGATCGCACCCTTGCACTCCAGCCTGGGTAACAAGAGCGAAACTCCATCTCAAAAAAAAAAAAAAATTATCTTTGAACTTTTCGATTTGTATTTATTTTTATTTTTATTTTTTTAGAGATAGGGTCTCACTCCACTGCCCAATGTAAATCAAAAATGAAATCCTAAGGCCCCTCAACCATCTGCATGGACCCCCACCAAGCGCATTCCAGAGTTAATCTTGTTTTAGGTTGCTTTAAGAAAAACATGTTTAGGCCTGATGGGAGGTGGGGGTGGAACTTGCCTCATTTTGTCCTCCTCCCTTTTGGAATTCAGGAAAACCAGATCAGCATTTAACATGCTGGATACTAACCCGGAGGCTTCCTGTGCATGATAAAACCTCAGTCTCCACAGCCTCTTACTGTAACCCAGACATTCCTTTCCATTGATGATAATATTATCTTTCAACCAAATGCCAACCAGAAAATTTTCAATCTACCTATAACCTGGAAGCCCCCGACCCCCCCACCGCCTCAGTGGTCCCACCTTTACCGACCGAACCAATGTACATCTTAATCGTACATGTACTTGACTGACGGCTCATGGCTCCCCTAAAATGTATAAAACCACACCGGGCCCCGACCACCTTGGGTACATGTTCTCAGAGCCCCCAAAAGGCTGTGTCAGCAGCCATGGTCACTCATATTTGGCTCAGAATAAATCCCTTCAAACATTTTACAGAGTTTGACTTTTTGTCAACCGCAGGCTGCGTCGCTCCCGCGCCCAAGCGATCCTTTCACCCACAACTTTCC